CTTAGTCGGTAGAGCATCCGCTTAGTAAGCGGAAGGTCGCCGGTTCGATTCCGGCAGAAGGCTTGTGTCTCCCCTGTTGTTGTTGTTCGTACTGAGGCATTTATACCAGGGCGAGACTGCAAGATCAGTGGCTCACCTACGGAGCGGCATGTACTTTCCTTTCGTGCCAGTCTGCTAGACGAACAGACCATTAGGTATAAGCAAATGGTACTTCTTTGGGGTCTTGAGTCTTTTCCGAGTACCCGAAAGTACAAGTGGGAACGAGTGCATCCATAGAGGTCCGGCAGTCTTCAGGGCCCAGCTGCTCAAGAGTTGTATCGAGATGGACTCATGTTTAAGTTGTAAGCAAAGTGGGAATCACAGGAGGAGGGCACGTACGTACGAGCCTGATGGACGATCTACGCGCACTTCCTCTTTTGAATTCGTCCAAACAATGACCTGCAGCTTCCACATACACGGTCCCAATGCTAGTAATACTATATATTTTAAAACCTCCAACATTAATATGTTCTTCAACATTGTTAATATGCAACTTGGAGCCAGGGGCTCGCCCACTGGCACGCGACGGACTGCCCCAGGCTAGAGCTTGCGTGTTAAGAGTTAGCTGATATGAGCTTCTTTGTAAGTCAATTAACAAAGTGTTTGCATATTCTCCTCCTGAAAAGAATGTGTTTCAATGTTTACGCATTCCTCCCAGTGCTGCAGCTCGGGAGATACGACCCGAGCAAGCCACGCGAGCTTAGCTGGAGCTTAGCGTGGGAAGACTGCTTCGCTCAAGCAAAACTTGCACTGCATTCTAAACAAAATATGAGCACATTAATTATAGATCCTCCATATATGGAGACATAATTTTCAATTGCTCGGAATTGACTCAGACATATGCAGCAAAGAAGTCTAGAGTGTTCTTGGCGCGCGCCTGGAGTATGGGGGTGGTGTTCACTTAACCCGCGCGTGCCTACATGATCGCATGAAGAGAAGAAAACCTGAAGAAGTGCGCAAATTTTCAAGTTGAATGAGTAAGCCACAAAAATTCCGCCCGTACCGATACGATAGCGTCATTCCGATGTGTTGCGGAGGCGCCACACAAATGCGATCCGGTGGGCTGGAGTATTCGCGTGGTGTTAAATGAGCGTATCAACGAATAGTGGTAAAGAAGATTAGAGTAAGGAAAACGGGGTAGGCATGGATTCTAGTACCAAACGTGGGCGAAAGAAGTTCCGTCGCCGGGACTTGAACCCGGGTCGCGCGGGTGAGAGCCGCGTATCCTAACCACCTAGACTACGACGGATGAGGAGATTTACCTTGCATATGCACTCTCGGGTTTTCCAGCTCTCCTGAAGGCAGTCGTTCTCCCTTAATTGGGGTACGCCATTGCGAACACCGTAGAACACTCACTCTGGGGAGGGGTCCTGCTCCACGGGCAGTGAAAGTGCTGCCCAGGACCCAGAAATATCATGTACAGGCTTCTGCATGCGGAAGTCCTGTTGCTTTGGCTGGGCTCTCCTGGCGGCGCCACAGCTGTGGGAGGCACCGCAAAGCGCATGAGATACGGCAATGTGACTACGATGCGAACTGCGCTGAGTAAGTACTCAAAATATGGCCCGCAAGTGTTCCTCCCACCTGCGAACTTTCTCTTAAGCTTCACTGAACAAATACTTAGGGGAAGTCTGCGGCAAGGAAAGCTCCTGCACTTTTGTTTGTTCGTCGTATCAAAAGGACGAGCAGACCACAATGCACAACAAAGAAAAAGCACAAACACCCGGAAACCCCACCTGCTGCTGATGGTATCCACATCGAACTCGACAGTGGAAGAGATTAAGAGACTAAGTTAGATGAATCAGCAGCACAACAAAAACCAATACAGCCTGGCGCCTGGACAGAATCAGGGCTTACGGCGAACTCGATACGAAGCAGGGCTTTAGTAATGATTATTAGCAGGGAGTTAACGGGGTGAACGGCAGTTGGGATGGCTGTGCCGAATTGCAGTTGCCCCCGTCTCCCTCTTTTCCGAAGGGACTCCCCTTCAATTGTTGTCTCTTAGCTGCTGCTTGGGCTCTCCTCTGCTGTATCTCTGCCCATCTTTGGCGGTGCCTCTCCTGAGCCTCCTGGGTTCTCCTCTTTGGCTTTCGCTGGGGCTGTGGCTGCGGCCGCGCCGCCTCGCACTTCTTTAAGCTGTACAAATTACACAACACAGCCTCCGAAGAAAGGGGCCTCGCCGCAATCAACGCATCCAATAAACTGGAGTCGGGGGGACCTGCCCCTTGCGAAGACAGGGGAGCCTCAGCAGCGGAGGGACCCCAACACTCCCCCAAATCAACCGTGCTGCTGCAGCTACCACCCTCGCGGTGGAGGGAGCCTTCGCCTACTCTCGAAAGACGGGGTATCCTTATCTGCTGCTGTTGCTGTTGCTGCATGGTCGTCAGGCCCTCTCCAGCTTGCTCACCAGTTGCGTTTTCAAGCGCCGCAGGAGGTTCCAAGGTGTTTGGCCTATCAGGGCCGTAGTCGGAAATTTCTCCTTCTTCTGCATCAGAACCTTCCGCTGTTCTGCGACTCTCCAATTTTGATACATGCGAAAGGGCCCCCGGGGTTGCTCCTGTTCCCTCAAAACCCAGGGGTATCCTAGGAGCCAGGGGAGTGGTTGCGTTGCTTGAACACTTGAATGCACTTGACTGCCTCTGCAACGTTTCTTGCTGCTGCTTCTGCTGCCTGGAGCTCAAGACCGCCTTTTCGGCCAGTCCACTATCCGGGTAATCGGCAGGGCTGAGAGACCCCGAGCATTTGGGGGCCCCTGGAACTGTGGGGGTCCCTGAGCCCCTGACGGCTCCTGAAGGGTCTTCCGCTTGCTCCTGAGTTGGCGCCTGAAGGAGCGGAAGCGACAGTGCGTTCAGAATCTCAATTGTCTCCTCCCGCTCCTTCTCGCTGAGTGCATTCAACGCCTCCAAGGCCTCCGAAGAAAGGCCTGATACTGCAACAGCACCTCCGCTCAATTGCCGTGAGTTCACTGCTGCTGCTGCTGCTGCTGCTGTCGGTCCGGTAGCAGCCCAACTCGGTAAGGGAGGGGGCGGAGGTGGGGGCCGAACTGCAGCAAACGGGGGGGGAGGAGGCGGAGGAGGAGGAGGAGGTGCCACCGCTGCCACTGCTCCTGGTGCTTGAGTGGGCGGCGGCGTGGGATGAATCGTTGCTGCAGCTGGCCGCTGCACGCATGCAGCTGCAGCTGCCGATGCTGCAGCCGGTGGCTCAACCGCAGTTGCACCGGCCACCACAGGAGTAGGAGCAGCGCCGTCATCTCCCGGACTCTCTCGTCGCCGTTTGCTCTGATGTGCTGCTGCTGCTGCTGGCGTTGCAGCAGTCAAAGCAACACCAGCAACTGGTGGATCTCCTTCAGCTGCTTGCGCCTGTTTAGAAAGGGCTCTCCGCCTTTTTTCGGCACGTTCCGTGCCCGAGAGGTCCATGTGTTGCTGCAGCTTAGGCTGCTGCTGCTGCTGCTGCTCCTCTTCCTCCTCCTCATGCAGTTGCAACAGCGGCTGCAACTCATGCTGCTGGGAGCTACCCCTCTGCGATCTACGAAGCTGCGCGCCAGGAGTTGCTGGGGTTGAAGAATACCACACCACGGCCGCTCCCGTTGCTGTCGGTGATGTTGGCGTTAATGCTGGTGCTGCTGCTGCTGCTGAGGGGGAGCTCGCATCCCTGCCGGGTGCTGGAGCTACCTCTGCTGCTGTTGCTGAGAGCTGCTGTTGCTGCTGCTTCAGGAGCCCCTCTGAGGGCCCCGCGTGAAGCAATTCGTGGGGGCTCCCTTGGCTACAAACAAGCGAAGACAGGAGGTCGGCAAACGCTTGAAGATCTCGTACCGCAGTAGCTGCGATATGCTGCTGTTGCTGCTGCAGTGTTTTCTGCAGCTCCGACTCAACTGCAGCGAACACCTGCTGCGCGCGAAGCAGCAGCGGCTGCAGCAGCCACTTGTTTCGTGCAGAAGGACAGCAGCTGCGGCTGCTTCTCTTTCTTCCATCTTGCTTGCTGCTTCGGCTGTCGCTGGTTTGGCTGCTGTTGCTCAGGGTGTCGCTGCTTCCGCTGCTGTTGCTGCCCTTGTTGCTGGCTGTAGCAGCAACATGCTCTGGTGGAATTTTCCGGGAGTTTCTGGGGGCTCCTCGGGCCCCCGAGTGCCTCGAAGGTGCCTCCGTGACCATGAATCGGCCAGGGATGCGCTTCTTCTCCTAGTTTCTTCTTGACTTCTTTGCTTCTTCCCTGAATACGCAGGAGCAGCAACGGCGGTAGCAGCGGCGGTGGCGGCGATGCAGGCGCCTCTCGTTCCCACGCTGGCCCTACGGGATACTCACCAGTGATGCGCCTGGAGGTACCCCGGGCTTTCTAAAGCATCATATGCTGCATGCTACTTCTGCAGGGCCTTCAGGAAGCAACCTGGCAACTGGCTTGTTAGACTTCCGGGGCTCCAGGGTACCGGAGGCCCCGGGCCAGGCAGCTGAGGGGAACGTTGCAGGCCTAAGAACTGATATGCGATAACTTGAGACCAGATTAAAACAATAAAAGATAAACAGTGTGCCAGAGAAGGAGGGTATTCCGGCAATAAAGCCCCAAACTGCCTGGGGGCCCCTCAACGGGGGGCCCCCCAAGTCGTGTGCGTCTAAGCCGTCTTGCCGATCCCGCTCCTCTGAAGAAGTGGTTTTCCTTCTATTGCTGCTCAAGGAACCACTAGAGCTAAGAATTCTTTGTCTCACTCCAGGCAGAAGTAGCGCCAGGACAGCAGCGGCGCCAGCAGCAGCAGCGCAAACGTTGAGTGCGGCATAATACCTGCAGGGGCCCGTTGCAGCAGCAACCGCAGCTGCTGCCTCCGAAACCGCTGATGACGGTGTAGGAGCAGCTAGCAGCTGCGCTGCTAGCTGCTCCTACCTGCTGCTTCAAGAGGACACCTAAAGAACCCCCGGGGCCACTGACTTTGCAAATGTTGCGTTTCTCCCACCCTGTTACACGGGCCCTTAGAAACTCCCATAGGGGCCCCCGCATGGGGTTTAGGCGGGTCCGTCTGGGATCTTTTGCTGGGAGAAACTTCAGCAGCAGCGGGGGCGCATTATCAGCAAGTGCACCAGCTGCAGCCGCAACAACAGAGCAAGAAGGCTCGCCTCAAGGCCGCCTTACGGGCAAGGAGGACTGCACTGTATTTGGCAGTCATGGGAAGCAGTTGCACTGGAAAGCAACACCACCACCAGCAGCAGCACTACGATGCAGCAGCAGAGGTGTCTATACGGCGCGGCACCGCCCTCCGCGCGTGGCTCCCTTCCGCGGGGGTCCCAGCGTCTTCGAATTTTCAAAGGCGGCCTCAGAGGGTCTACTGCCGAACACGTTTGTATCCCCTGGTGCAGTACCAGCAACAACCGCATCAACTGCAGATCCAGCCGCTCCAGGGGTACCAGCTGCAGCAGCAGCCGCTGGCGCTGCAGCACGGGATGAAGAGCGGAGAACCAGCAATACCGCGTATGCCTTATCGTCTCAACTGATTGGCAGGGGAGTGCCCCTTGTAGGATTGTACAAGAGGAAGCTGAGAGTATCTGCAGTGAATGCTGGGAAGCAGCAGGAGGGAGAGCAGCAGAAACAACAGCAACACCAGCCAAGGCAGCCGATGCACGGGAATGCAACACGCAGTTCGGGTGTCTCGCTGGGTGTCCCCTCCCCTAAGGAAACAAACGGTCGTACTGCTGATGATGCTGCTGCTGTCGAGATGTTGCAGGCAACGTGGAGACTGATGCGGCGGGCAGCGCAACAGCAACGACAGGTGCTGCCGTACAGAGTAGCAGCAAACATCTCGCTGCTGTTAAAAGACACCGCTGCTGCCCTGCAACAGGCAGAAGAATTCGCTGCATCCAAAGAGCCGAACCAAGTAGTAGCAACATCAGCTCCGACAGCAACAGCAACAGCAGCACGAATAGCAGCTGCAGCAACAGAGACCACAGAGGCAGCGGGCCCCAATGAGTCGCTTCTGCGCCTCTGCCTGAACGTGTTGGCCTTTGGCGCTACTTACTTAGAGAGACAAATCAAGGAACTTGGGGAAGCAGCACCTGCCGCTGCTGCTCCTGCAGGCGCAGAACTCTGCATAGAGCACTTGTCTCTGCAGCCGGTACTGCAGCAGCCACGTCAGCAGCGCAACAGAGGTCGCAGCAGCTCCAGCAGCGTCGGCAACATCAGCGACAGAAACAGTCAGGCCCAGCCTCTTTATATGCCCCCTGCGCTGCTGCTGCAGACAGCGGCGGTCGTTGTAGGGTGGCTACAGCAGCAGCAACAGAGTCTAGCGGCAGGAGGCTCGCGCTTGGAGGTGCTGCAGCCCACGGAGGCAGCTGCTGCCCTGCGGTCTCTTTTCCTTCTGCTCTGTCACTACGCCCCCCTACAGCATCTCCGGCCTGCAGCATCTGCTGCTGCGATTCCAGTGTTTATCCACCTCTTGCACCAGCAACACGCGCTGCAGTGGCCGGCTGCCTTGAGCACTTACAGGGCACTGCTGCTTTCCGAACGAGCCGTTCGCTTGCAGCAGCCGCAGGAGGCTTTTGCTGCTCCAGGTTCTACTCTACGACGAGGTGAGCAGCAACAGCAGCAGCAGAAGCAGCGGCGCGAGCAACACCAGCCAGCTTCAGGGCAACTTCCCAGCGTGGGACCCATCTCTTCTTACTGGGATGGCTACGGCGCCCAACTTGGAACCCCTTCTCTTCTTGAGTTGTATGCACACCTCGATTGTGCACTATTGGCATTTCTCAGCAAAAGAGCCCTTATTCCTGTTCAAGAGGGAGGCTGGACAGCTCAACCGCAACTGTGGCGGGAGCGGCTGCCGAAAGAGCAGCAGCAGCAGCAGCAGCAGCAGCAGCAGCAGCTGGCAGAGGGGAATGAGCCGGGCCCTGTGTTTTCAGTCGCGCCTTTGGAATGTGCGCAGCTGCTGTTGCGGCCTTCTGCTTGCCCTGCCGTACGGCTGGCGGTCGGCGGCGAGCTGCTGCAGTTGCTGTTACTGCTGCAGCGTGACCCAAGTGCTTACATGCAGCAGCTGCTTCTACGACGCGGAGAGGGCGAGCCTTTGCTGCTACGGGAGACATCAGCACTGTCTACCATTGCAGCTGCCGCCCGCAGCGTCCTTTCGTGGACTGGCCTAGCCTATCAGTCCACCGGCAGAAGTAGCGGCGGCGGCAGCGGCAGCAGCGGCGGCAGCCGCAGCGGTAGCATGGCACCACAGCATCAGGTAGAGCTTTCCTGCTTGCGGCGGGATTTGCTGCAAGCAGCGCGCGGAGGTTTACTATCTCTGTTGCTGTCTTCTTCGTATCGTCGTGCTGTCACTCTGCCGTCGGATGGAATGTATGGGCAGTACCAGCAACAACAGGAGCGGCTGCTGCTTCATCGGCTGCAAGCTTTGGCAGCGCTCTCTGAGGTGTATGCTCACCCGGAGGTGTTCACCACACCCATCGCATCTGCTTTGTTGTGGGAGGCGCTGATGCTGCTTCGAATCTTTGCCCGCGAAGAGACAAAGACCGCGGGTCCTCGTCCCGCTGCTGCTGCTGGTGCTGTTGCTGGTCCTACTGCTGCTGATCGGCAGCGACTAACGCCCGTACTTACTCCTTTGCTGAAGCTTGCAGACCGCCTGAGTTGCGTTCCGTCACTTTCTGGAGGCCAGTGGCCTATGACAGCAGCAGCACCAACAGCAGCAACAGCAGCGGGAGCAGGAATAGCATATGGGGAACCTGCACTGTTGCAGCAAGCAACGCGTTTCTTTGGAGGATCGCCGGTCTTTCTAGTGGAACTGCTGCGGGAGATAGCAGTGCAGCAGCAGGAATGGTTAGTGAAGGAGGTGTCTCTGTGGGGAGCACTTCCGCAGCTGCAACAGCAGCAGCAGCAGCAACAGCAACAGCAAGCCCAGCAACCCCACCGGAAGCATCAGCAAACTCTGCAGCCGCTGTCACTCCTGCATGCACCCAAACAGCTGTCCGCTGTAGTAGCTGGCATTGGTTGCATCACATCGTCTTTGTTGAAGGCAATTTGGGGGTACGAAGGAGGCGCAGCAGCTCTGGTGTACCTGCAGCTGCAGCGGGCACACAGTTGCTTGTCTGCACTCCACGCAGACCCAGCCTTCTTGCCATCCCTTCTCAGCATGCGCTTGCACTGGCAACAACAGCAGCAGCAACATCAGCAACAGCACATTGCCGACACGCGACATGGGTGCCTCACGGACGCTTGGACTTTGATGAGCCGCACAGACTATGCCTTCGGTTTATGGCTGAAACGGCAGCAGCAGCAAGCACTGCTGCACAGCATGCACGAGCAGCAGCACCACACTTTTGCTGCAGCTGCTACTTTTTGGCATCATTCTGCACCCAATATATCGCATGACACGTCAACAGTCGGCGTACATCAGCGGCAACAGCAGCAGGTGACGCATCCGGACCAGCTGCGGCTTCAACATCAACTGGCAGCAGCACGCAGCGGATGTGGATGGGAGGAACAAAGCAGCAGCAGCAACAGTTGCAGCAGAAGTTACACCATCAGCCCCGACAGCATGCTGTGGGAATCGTCTTTGCTGCAGGAGAGCGCCACTCTATTGGCTTCCGCCACCCCCTTAGCGGCGCTGGCTTGGCATTCACTCGGCACCCAGCAACAAGTGCAGCCACAAGAGCAGCAGCAACCGAAGCACCAACAGCAGGAGCTGCAGCAGCGGCAGGAACTTGTGCTTCCTTTGGGTACGGTTCTAAGGGCTGTGAAGAAGCAGATTGCTCAACACAGCGCTGCTCTGCATGCAGAGGCGCCGTTCCTGCAGGTGCAACGGCAAACGGATGAGCAACTCATGCAGTTGCTGCAGCAGCACCTGCAGCAGCTCCAGCACCAACTGCAACGGATGCGACAGCAGCAAATTGGAGCGGGAGTTCTCGCAGATACCATACCATACACACACAGGGAGCAGCAGCAGCGGAAGCTTCAGCAGGAGCCTACTGCTACTGCTGCCGCTCTGAGAATTCAGCGGCTGATGCATGAATGCGCCTGCGCAGACATATCACCCCCACAAGCCCCTGAAGAACTTTTGTCTCTGCTTCAGGACGTGTACTGTATGCTTCAGTCAGCACAAACTGGTCTGGAGCAACGAATTGCGGCAGGAGCCTGTAGTACTCCGGAGCGCCCCAGTGCAACCGCAGTTGAAGCCTTGACAGCTGCCGCAGCAAGCACAACGGCAGCATCTTTAGGCGCGGCAGGAAGTCTGCCTACAAGCACGCAAAGCTGCGTCGGCCAGCCAGCTGAATCTGCACGAATTGCTGCTTCAGGCAGCGGCAACACCAATAGTCTCAGCAACAACGACAGCCTCTCAACCGTGATTCCCTTAGGCATGCAGATACGCATCGGATGCTGCGTTATTGCTGGGCCTCCGGCCGACCCACCAGTCGAACTACTGCAGCTATTAGCTCTGTTCGTGAGCCCTTTGTGGCTGCTTCGGGTTCTTCCTGGTCTTGCTGGTGTTGCAGCCCTGTTGCACTCTTGCAGCCCCATCCGGGACAGCAACGCGCAGCATTTCAGCCACCTGCAGCAGCGCGTGAACCTGATGCTGCAGCTACGAAAGCTACACCAACAGCAGCAGCGACTGTCGCAGGCGCTGAAACGGGTCTTGCAGCTGCAGCAACGGCGGATTACCCAGCAGCATGCTGTCGTGAGTTCCTTGCGTGCAGCAGCTGAACAGCGACACCTGCAGCAGCGACAGCAGCAGCTTCCAGGGGAGCAGCACTTCAGGACGAAGCAGCAAGAACGCCAACAAGCCAGATGGGAGCGCCTGGTGCAGCGACGGGTGCAGCAGCAGGAAGTGGAGGCTGAGTCGAATAAGAACAGGCTGGTTGTCCTCTCAAGTGCAAGTGCCGCTCTTGCCTTTTCGCACGAGCACTTCAAGCAGTCGGTAGTGCGTCAGCTGCTGCTGCCTCAGCTGCTGCAGCAGGACCGGTTGCTCCGTCGCATTGAGAAGCTGCTCCAGCGCTGCCGCCGATTAAACTTTCTCCGCCGCCAGATGAAGAAAACGAGCAGCAGCAGCAACAGCAGCATAGGACAAGAGGTGCCATTTCAGCGGCAGGAGCAGCAGCAGGACGAGCACCAGGAGCCGTTGCGGGGGGAAGTGATGACTTCTTTGGCGTTTGCCATTGATGAGCTGCATGCAGTTTTGGGGTGGGCACGGGAAGTTGTCCTGTTGTAGAGCTGTCATTGATTTAGTGGCTTGTGTTACTGCTGATGCGGGTTGGCGTTGCTCCCCCTGCGCGCAGGTAGCTCGCAGCTGTGCCTCCGTCCTCTCTTCTAGGCATTCAACGTGTGCAAAAATGTCTACAGATGTGCATTTATATGTGTGCATAAATTGCTTGCATTGATATACTCATATGATTCATGGCCACTCCCTTGTGTGAGAATTTGCTGCATGCTGGCTTTGCAGAGACGCATTGGAATACCGCCGGCTGGACATGCAGCATTCCGTTGCTCTCGAGAAATTGCATGCTGTGAAAGAGCAGCAGCAGCAGCACCAACGCCGTCGCGGAGACGCCTTCGCTGATTGGGCCCACACAGCCCTGTGCAGCTGCAGCAGCAGCCTGTTGCAAGCAGCGGCAGACCTTAAGAGGCCTCCAAGTGTTAAGTGGATTATTCACACGTGGCGGGTGGGGCGGTAGCACCATTATGTTTGCACTTTCCCTTTGTAGTTATTGGTGTTGCCGCTGATTCTGGTCCTGCTGCAGCTGCTGCTGATGTTTGGGGAGGCTGCCGATGGCTTCAGCTCTGCAGTGTGCTGTTCTTGTCATCTGAACTTTTCGTGCTGTTACTGCTGCCATTGCTGCCGTTTCGTACAGGCGCTTCTCATAGAAGATGCGTTGCGTGTTAGCCAGCGGCAGTCAAGGCAACAAGAGAAGCAACGTGAGGAGTTGCAGCAACAGCTGTTTGCTGCCCTAGCGCTGCGGATTCGCAATCAAACAGCAGCCGGGCAGCAGCCGCTGGACGTGGCTGAGGTGCGGTGGCCCCTAGCTATTCTTTACCCTCTTTTATCCCTCTTCTATCATTTTACCCCATTCTATTCCTTCGCCGGCTTCTACCTTTCAAGATGTCCATATATCAGTGCTGCGTCTGCGCTGCAGCTCTTGAGTGCGGATTGCCCCCTGCCCCCCCGCGTGTCTGCTGCCTTATTTTCGCTGCTGTACCGTCACAGTCTGCCGCTGCTGCTGCACCCGCAGCAGCAGCTGCTGCTCCTTTTCTCTGCTTTCCGGGCCGAGCAAGAGCAACACTGGTGTGGGACTGCTGCTCAGGCCGGGGCTGCCCTTGCGGGGATGGCACCCGGCGTACTCCAGGGGTACCTGGCGGACATATGGAAGATACGGCAGAAAACAGCAGAAGCACAAGATCAATGGGCGAGCTTTCGGCTGCTCGCGTGTTGTTTGTGAGGCGCGCAACGGCGGCCAGTGTCCCTCCTGCCGCTTGTTCTGCTGCTGATGCTGCGGCCGCTGCTGTTGCAGGAGCTGTTGTTTTCTTACGGGGTGCATCTCTGCTGTCGAATCTGTGAAATGCCTCAGGGCACGGCGCCGAGTTGACGAGCGGCTGCTGTCGTTGTTGCTTCCGCACGTCGAGCGCTTTGCCAGTGGCGACCCAATAGCAGCAGAAGAAGCAGGAACTGCAACAACAGTAGCATTGAGAACGGGATCGACAACAATGGGCGGATCACCCTGGCCAGCTGAATGGCTGCAGCAAGGCGAGGAACTGCCCAGCGTCTTCGCCTACACGTCCCAAGTGGCGGTGTTTGCTGCGGCTGCAGTTGCGGCAGTCCCCAGTCCGCTGTTGCCTCAAGAGGTTACTGACCTCTGGCAACAGCATCGCCAAAAGCTAGTTCAGGAGCGACTAGATGGCACAGGAGCCGCACCTGCAGCTCCTAAAAGGGGCTTAAGCCACACCTTCTCTACAGCAGAGCTTCAGCAACGTATTGGGAGTGTGCTGCAGCAAATAAATGCTTCATTGTTGCTGCAGCAAGACACATGGTGCCGTCTGCGGCGAGTTTTGCACCATGAGGCTCAGCAGCAGCAGCGACTACAGCAACAACTTGGGGTAGTGCGACAGAAGGACTCCGCTACAGCCTCGCATGCAGCAGCGGATTCACTGCACCATCAAGCTTTTGCCGCAGCGGAGAGTTTGCCAACTGGAGTAGTACAACAGCAAACAGCCGGCAAGCTGCATTTGCTGCAGCCGTCGCTGCATGTCTTGCAGCAGTGCAGCCGCCTTGCTCTTGCATTCTGCAGCTGGGGTCAGTTTGAGTGCCTCGCTCTACCGCTGTTGCTCCAGGTTGCAGCTGCTGCTGTGCATGCTCTACGCCCCCTTGCTCCTGTCTGGCTCCAGCAGCAGCAGCAAGCTCTGCAGCATGCTGCCGCACTAGAAAACCTCCATCCGCCGCTGCTGGTGCTACAACAGCAGCAGCTATCCCGGGCCCGCGCGGCGATTGAAGAAGCAACGGGCGACTTGGGGATTACTGTGTCCTTACTGCAGTGTCTCTGCCCCCAGATTCTGCGTGTAAGTACTCAACTGCTGGTGGAGGAATGTATGTGTTGCTACATCGATGACCAAGCGATCCAGAACAGCCATATTCGGTCCTTCTGCTTTTTGGAGTTATATTCGCATCTGCTGGGGTTGCTGGCTGCACTAGTAGGCCAAACACCTGGGCAATACGCGTGTGCCACTTTAATTTGTGGAGTTGTCTCTGCATGATCCAGCTTCGTGCAGCTTTTGCAGGATTTGTTGGTGTTTTTTGTTGCTGCTGGTTTAGGGGCTTATGCATGCCACTGACTTGCAACGGCTTCTGAATGACTGCGATGCTCTTTTAGACGCAGCAGCGGCGGCAAGGAGGCACATACCGCTCTCGCACCCATCTGCTGCTGCTACAGAGAAAGTAGCGGAGGTTGACAGTGTCCGAGGAGTTGCAGCGCACCCAACAAGGGCAGCATCAGGTGCAGCAAAAGCCAACGATGCAGGTGCAGCAGCAGGTGCAAATTCTCTCGGAATCGATGCGAAAACAGCATTTTCAGGAGCGGCAGATGCTCTTGAATATTGTACACCAACAGCAGCGGAAACAACGGAAGCAACAGGAGCCGTTGAAGAGTTGCACGATGCAGCAACCGCGAAGCCCAGCACCAAAGGCGGTTGGGACTGGCATTTGCTGGAGACCGAAGTAGCGAGTATCCTCCGTGAGCTGATCCCTGCAGCTGAGGGGTCTCCAGCTAAGGTATGCGAAATGGAATAGCGGGCTCTGCCCAGTGCTTTGTGGTTGCCCTACCTTTGAGGAGTGCAGAGAATCGCATGGTTCGGGGGAGCTTTGAATGCGCCGATGCAAAGGCAATGCTGCCAAATGTTCATTCCCATTTAGTCAAATAGACCACTTCTGTTGTGCCTCTTCAATATACATTTGTTACGGCTCTGTAGTAGAGCAGGGTAGACGCACGTCATTGACAACCCCGTCCGGGATCCAGCTCGCGGCGCTGCGGGCACTGTTTGAGCTGCGGCGTCATTTGTGCTTCTGCTGCTGCTGCCTCAGGCAGCGCATCTAAGGGTATGCGGTCTCGCTTGCACCCGCACTCAGCATCACGACGTGGAGCCGTCGCCGCTGCAGCAGCTGCTACAGCCGCTGCAGCTGCAGCGGCAGGGGAAGCCGTTGCTGTTGGCGTTTATATTCCCAGCTGATACTTGGGGCCGCAGGCAGGGGATTTTGTTGCCAAAGAAGCTGCTTCAGTTGTTCCTTTTGCGACGTCTTGGTTGGGAGGTGAGGCGGTGGTTCTTTCTGTTTTTGTGCTGCTAGATAGAGAAGGATGCTCTACTGAATGGTGAAGTGGAAGAGTTTAAACTGTCTGTTGTCCCCAGGTGCGGCTTGTTAACCTCTCGGACTGTCGTGACAAAAGCCCTCTGGAGCTGCAACGGCTCCTTGTGGCTGAACTGAATGCCGGCCGCACACAGACATCCCTCTGGAGCCTTCACCCGCTGCAGGGGGAAGGTGTTTCAACCGAGAGGCTGTCGGAGGCGGAGGACTGGCCCAGTTGACAGGTGATTTTGTGTAATCCTGCATATGCTGGCAGCGCTTGGCTCGGACAAACTTTCTTCCTTCGTCGGACTGAAGAGGCGCGTAGTTTGTTGGGCCTTATAAAGCCTTCTGCGCTGGGTGGTCACACCCGTGCACAGTGAGAGGCAAGAGAAAGGCGCATTTGCTGCTGTGTTCATTTGTAGCTCAGCAGCTGCTGTTAGGGCCTGTAGAGCTTGCGTTGGCCTCCTTCAGCCTCTCACCGAGTCTCTGTTAGACAGTACAGCGGCGGGGGGAGGTATCGGCTGCGATGCCGCTGCATACCACGCAAGCGAATCCCGCATGTCACAAGTGCATGCATTGGCAGTGCGTACGGATCTTTTACTGCATCTGAATGCCGCTAGACTGTGGAGCTGACGTTTCAGTTTTGAGTGTTTGGACAAGTTCGTTTTGTTGCTAACTGCCTGGAATGGTTTAATCGAACTGCACGAACTAGCGAACAGTTGACCAAGCGTAGGTGATCTTCACGAACCTTCATGTCTTAGCAAACGCCAAATGCAAGTTGCAGGTGTCTTAATCACGCCAGCAACTTGTCTGGCTTCCTGTTGCGCATTTCGCGAACCTCACGAATGGGCATTTTCCTGAAGTGAAGCAATTATCATCGATGTATGCATATACATACATTTGTGTTGTCCATCCGCTGAATGCTGGGAACGCAGTTGCCTCATCAGCAAACAGGCGAGAGGCAATCCATTGTAAGACATCTGCACCACCTCAGCGCCGACTGCTGCAACCCTTGCCATTATCCCCTTCTGCATTTTATTCATGGTTCTGTGGAGTCTTGGGGCAGCACAACTTAGAGAGCACGGGGAAGCAGGTTAGGCGAACGTCGAGGTGCCATGGTGCAGTCAACAAAGACGCGGGCAACCTCTGTTGTTGCAATACGATGGCGTATTAATAAGCCAAACCGGGGAGGCCGGGGAAAACCTCGCTCACTGATGCGTCGTCGTGCTGGTCAGGTTATGTGGTGGTCCCTTGAACTTGAGGCAGTGAAATACCGACTTCTCTACTAGCAAAAAAAGGCACCCACGCCACAGATGTGGTACGCTGTACGGCGGCTTTCGGTGCGAAGTCAGACGATCACTCAAAAAGGTGGCCCTGTCCTTGATTTCTGTTGCAGCGGGTACAACGGGCCAGGACGATATCTTTTTCTCCCCTGCAACCCCTGTTAGATTCGACAAACCAACAACTGCTTAGGAGTATTAAACATCTTAATAACTGGATGTTCGGTAGCTCTACCAAAACTACGCAGTACCAGCTTCAGCGCTTGTGCGTCTGTGCAATGCACGCGGCAGCGTGTGCGCATCAGATGTCGACAAGTGACGCCGCCTGGCTACTATGGTGTGACGCTGTTCGAAAGTGAATTATTATTCGGTGTCCTGGAGCTGTGAAGTGCTCCAGCTATGCACTGGAAGGACCCATCCAAGGAGACAGCACCGGGCATCACAGCGGCGGTCTGTGCTTAGAGGCACTGAAAAACTGGCGGCATCAACAACCGCCGGTTTTTCAGTGCCTCTAAGCATTTCTCACACTTCCACCCCAATATTTAGATACCTACTTTGAGACTCAGAAACATACTGCTTCCCAACATTGCAGAACGTGGTTACGGTCAAGCGAGTAGGTGGAGGTTACCCAATTGCACTGAAATACACAATCTGTACGGGTGGAACACCCATGGGGTAATGAACATAGAGCAATATCCTTCTAAGCAGCAACTGTGAAGATTTCTTGTACTGGTTTTTAGGGGTGAATTCCGCTTTTCCCTGCTGATTCCGCCCAGCCGGGCCGTCATCGTTGCCGAGCTTCGGTGACCCCAAGCTGCACACAGTCGGTGGATGTGCTCGCTCTTGAGCTTGAGTAATCACAACTTCTTGGATGCAAGTCAAGCTACTTCGAGTTTCGTTGCAACAAAATTTGCACCCTATTCGACTGTCCTGTGAATGCTTGGTCCGCCTCCGTCGCTGGCCGGTGGAGAAATCACAGCGGACGAAAATGTTCATCCTTTCTTTGATCTTGTTCATTCTCTTTATCCCAATTCTGCTTGTACTTCTGATTGTACAGCTACTGTGCATGCTTTTGCGTTGCATATGCTGCTGCTGCCCGTGCAAGGGCCTCTGCCACTCCCCCAGTGTAATCCAGGCGTCCCAACTGCCAGCCAGAATAGGCGGGGGATGGGGTTGTTGCACAATGAATTACGGAGACGATCCAGTTTGAGTGATGAAGGGCAACTGGGGGACAGGGTCATTTTGGAAGCACCACACCTTGCCCGTCCCTCCACAGCACAGGGTAGTAGGGCCCGTGCTGCTAGAGAGACGCACTCTTTGGTTCGCTCATGGAATGATTGTACCACAGTCGGTCGCGTGGTTCTCCCAAAGAGCGACTCAAGGAAGGGTGAATGTTCCTTATTAGGTTCCGAGATCCCCGTGCCCAGTTTGATGTTGACGCGTATATCTTGGGGCAGCTAAAAAGCCTCTGGTCCACATTTGGCCATTCTTCCTACCATTTATCCTTTTTTCTTCCCTAACAGCCTTGTGGAAGCCTCCCAGCCTCTCTAGCTGCGCATTCGACTTGTAGCTCCTATCCTACATGTGGGGGCCTGCTTTCCTTTATTTGTCATTGCAGCCGATGCCGCAAATTCAATGGCATACCATACAAAGATTCCAACAGCTTACTACGAATGTCCCTCGTGCTCCGTAGACACTGTGCCGTAGCTACGGCGCGTTAGGAACTTCCCCCTTACCATCTGATCTTGTTCTGAGTCTATCCCAAACCATTCGAACCGTACGCCCTGCTAAGCCGCAGCGTCAGCTACGAAAGGGCCTGCCCTCAGCTCTAGGCACTCGCACATGCAGATCAAGCGTATAGGAAGTAATGCACGAGATATTGGAGAAGACAAAGCCATTGAAGAGGCCTCTACAGCTGATAGAACGATGCGTGAGCATGAACAGCTGTTCTTGCAGTTCTGCGCAAGCGGCGATGAATTGTTCTCAGTGTCGCTGCACTTGTTACACTCGTTGCTGCATACCTGCTGAGTTTCCCTTCGCTCACTATTTGAATGTCGCATTTTGTCAGCCCAGACTGTAAGCGAAGAGTGGACGAGAATCATTTGGGAACTGGAAAATTAAGGAAAGGAAGCTGCCTAAAGCATGGCAGCGCACTTTAGGTAGAAAGGTATGGCACATCATTAGTAAGGAGAGAAGAGAGAACAATGTAAAACGCACCCCAGATAGTTGGCTTCTCATTAGGGCTCTTACTGCTTATTGATCCGAACAGCAAGCGAAGCCACAAAACTAAGCGTAACCAGCCTGAATATGTGCAGGCCGAGATCTGCACTCTGCTGGTGAAGGCACTACTCGGTCAAACGCTGCCCCATCATGTGTAACTCATCTGAACGCGTAGCTTGTGACTATCTCATGGGAATTCTGGGTGCACACATGAATAATTCCTCGTATAGTTGAGGATTTGATGCCAATAACATCTCTGCAGTGCCAAGGAGCACACAGACGGAACAGACGCCA